GCGCGCGCGGCTGCTCAATTATAGCTATTTCCATAGTCAACATTAATGTTCTCTCCCTGAGGAGATGCCAATTCTAAACTTAAAGTGGAGAAAACTTTACATAGTTTTTTTTTCTTTAGATTTTTGCCATAGGGTGTTTGTGCTCACGAGAGAGAGAGAGAGAGAGAGAGAGAGAGAGAGAGAGAGAAAAACAGGCAGAGAGGAAATGTGAGAAATCACCCCCCAGGGTAGATGGTCACATTGCAGTCCTTCTCCATTCTCCTTTTCGGATTTTGGGCACACATGCACATGTGCCTGGAGTGACTTTTAAGTTGCCAGGTCTAGGACCTAAACTGCAGTCAGCCATGTGAGTCCAGCACCTTAACCCCCACACCATCTGGTTGTCTCAACTTTACATAAATTTCACATCAGAAAGTGAGTGGAAAATATGAACATGCAAAACAGTAAAGTAAAATTTTAGCATACACATTAGCAAATCATTTTGAATTTTTAGGAAATAACTTTATTTTTTAAATATGACATGGGAGCCGGCAGGTGGCATGGTGGTTAACGGCGCTGGACTCCCACATGGCTGACCATAGTTCGAGTCCTGAACCTGGTGGCTTGCTTTCTCACTTTATCTCTCTGTTTGAATTAAAATAAGTAGTTAAATATAATAATTCTTTAGAAAAATATGACATGAGTGTGCAGGATACTGAAGCTATCAGAAATATTAAGTGTAGACCTTTATAAGAAGTTCCTTTATTTTAAATAGATGAAATTAGAACTGACTTACAAATAGAAATTGCGTCAACACTTGAAATAATTAAGCAATTACACTTGTTTCTAAAAAATTGTATGATGCTGGTGATCTAGTTTTAATTATGTAGGTTTGAAACTTGAAGCTTTAAGTCTGGATTTCTTTTCATGTGGGTAGATAGTCAGCCCCACTCTGAGTGTCCCCTTTCTTCCCACACAACTAAAACCCCCTCGTTCCACCTTTCTACCAATAGATGTAATCTGTATTAATGCTGTAAGGGTGAAATAACAAGGAACTTTACCCTGCTTTCCAATGGTCTTCGAGTGCAGAGACCCTAGGTCCTGGGTCTAGTGTCATAGACATCTAGTCTAAGCCTTTGGGAGCTTCTCAAACCTTTCTGCTTCTGGAAACTATCTGGGGTTAGAGAGCTACCTGTGCTTTGCTGTCCCATAGAATAGTTTGGATTTTATTCATGAGCCTCTGAGTTGAACCAGGTAGGTATAAGAGTTTATCCACAACCACATCCCTTATTTTAATCAGATCAGTGCTAAGGTAAATTACATAAATTCCACCAAAAAAAAAACTCTTAGAACTGATAAATGTTGCAGAATACAAAATCAGCCTATAAAAACCAGTAGTGTTTCTGTTCTTCAGCTAGCTGTAAAAGCAGTCCTATTTATAGTATCTATAAGAATTATATAAAACACCTACCAATAAGTTTAATGTAGGAGGTGATTTCTCACTATATAGAAAAAGAGGTAAGAAACCTCATTAAGTCTACACTCCAGGAGACACTGTAATTTCAGATACTGAACCCATTGGTAACTTCATCCTTGGGACACACCCTGTTCAGTTTGAATGGATTTTCCAGTCAACTACAAAGCTATTACCTTCACACAAAGTTGGAGATCAAAATTCCCATTTTGAAGGGGAATTAGGAAGACCCATTTTTTTCATACATTCGTAAGTATTTTGAGTATATTCTGTGTATCAGAAAATATCCTCAGTTTTAGGATTACATTAGTGAAACAGACACCCTGTAGTTTTATGGAGCAGAAATTCCCTGGAAGAGAACTGGACTTGAAAATAAAATGAGAGAGGACCAGCAATTGGCATAATGGCTATGTAGTTGGACTCCCATGTGGTCAGCTGCAGTTCCAGTCCTGGACCTGGTGGCTTAAACTCACACCAGGTGTGTATGTGTGCATGCCCAAGATCCCAAGAGAAGAATGGAGAAGGGATTGAGATGTGGC